CAGTCATTTCATATCTATAATTAACGGTATTGACAGTTATACTTTGGTCCAAAATTACATAAAAACTATCTAACTATATTTGAACTATAAGAAATAAAGTGCTCACATGTCAAACTATAAGGAATAAAATGACTTTTATTCTAAAATTCATTGTATTTTCCCTAAATTTCAAATGTAGTCGGTATAATTTACCCTTTTAACTTAGCCATTAAGGATGCTCATCAAACTTTCAAACCCTGACCCAACCCCCATGTACGCCTCAAATTCAATATGGTTGTCTCAAGTTCCACCCATGGTCCACCATTCCACCCATGGTCCACCATTCGTCACGTACCATACCATCCCAACCCATCCAAACGAACTCCACCCTCCTTGTGAATTGGAGAATCCATTTTAGTGCTCTGCAGACTTATTTTGGATTCTTATTAGGGGCTGTTTAGGGGGATGACTGAGAATAAATTGACTCACTCAAGGATAAAATAAGTTAAAAGTCAATAAAACAAAATTATCACATTCCAATTATAATTATTTTGTTTTTTCTCTTACAAAATTATAAAAATGCCAAAAGTTCATCCCAAATTAAACTTTTTTAATCAAGCTAAAATAGTCAAAAGGTTAGGCTAAAAAGGTTGTTCCAAACGAAAGCTTAGTAATGTGAATCTTTTAAACTTGCTTATACATTATTCATGTAAAAAATTACATTGACCAAATATATGTAATTCAATCATTTTTTTTAAATGAAATGATTTATTTTTTTAAAACAAGCATCATCCAAACATGTGACTAGATGATCTACTCACAAAACAATGGACCTAAGGTTGGATAAATGGGGTATTATATTAAGTGATTGAAAAATATAAGAAATATAATGAATGCTAATTAGTGAGAGAGCACAACCACGTAGCACTCCAGAACTATTATATGATTGTCTCATAAAATCGACCTGTAAAGCACTACACTGAACCATCCCATCTAAATAGCATCTCTTATGAAATTATTTAATAATCTTAAAATATTTTTCCCTCGTTTATAGGTATAGCTAACAAACTCACATGGAAGATAAAACTAAAAACCATACATATATATACATGCAACCTAACAAATATTTGACAAGAAGAAAGCCTAATTAACCATCTCCTAAAAGACAAACCTTGAAAGATTCACCAGAAATTCTTCTCTCTCTCTCTCTCTCTCCCTGTATATATATCCTTTTGTCATAGATATAGTAGAGAGAGAGAGAGGAGGAGGAGGAGGAGGAGGAGAAATGATGGTGGGGCAGTCAAGGAAATAGAAGATATTCGTGGCGAGTACATAGATACAGGCATTTACGGGGACAAACTTCGACTTCTCATCCTACTCATCAGATTTGAAGTCGGTTTTGGGGATTTCACAGCTACAACTCAACTGCCTATCGGTGGCGTTGGATATAAGAAAGGCCTTCGGGTGGTGTTCAGGGATGTCTCTCTTGTATTTCCCTTTGTGGGTTGTCATGTTCATCACTACTTTCATGGGTCTCATTGGTTATGGTTTTCAGTGGCTTGTCATTCAGAGACTCATCACCTTGCCTTATTTCTTGGTTAGTTCTCTCTCTCTCTCTCTTTCTCTCTCTCTCTCTTGAATTTGCATTTCATTGGAGATGCTTAAGCTAAGAAAAAATGTAAATGAAGACCATAGTTCACTCTTCTTTTTTTATTTGATTTAATTTTCATTTTGTTGAGATTTAGGATACATAAACCTAATAAGATACAAGCATCAAGTGGCAGAGGAGGCACTGGCACTGTGTCAACAGCAGCAGCAGATGCCACACTTGTTAGCTCAGTGTCAGACTGTGATGCTGGCTAAGTCACACCATTGTAATATTAGTACTTCAACACAATACAGTTGTGCTAGTATGGTTACTTAGAGAGTTGTGTGCTAGTATAGTTAGTCAGTTAGAGAGTTTGTTATGAAGTTCAGTTATAACATTTTCTATATACACAAGTTCTGTAATACAAATCAGTTTGTGAGATGAATTAATAAAATCGCTTTTTCTTCATGGTATTAGAGCTACAATAAAGCTCCAACGAGCAAAGTTCAGCAATGGCAGATTCATCTCCTTTACCATCAAATGTCAATCTTCTCATCTCAAATTTTGGATCATTGGTCACTGTCAAGCTTGATTCTACCAATTTCTTGATATGGAAGAATCAAATGCAAAGCATGCTACGTGCTATGAATCTCTTAGGCTTCATAACAGGATTGATTCAATGTCCTGCTTCAGAGATCATGGATTTATCTGGAAAATCAATTCCAAATCCAGATTATGCAAATTGGCAAACAATCGATGGACATCTCTTGAGCTGTTTGACTGCGACACTATCTCCTGCTGTTTATTCATCCATTCTTCATCTTCAACACAGTTTTAAGGTATGGAAAGCTCTTGAAAAGCGATTTACATCTTTGTCTAGATCACATATTCATCAACTGAAAAATAAGCTTCAAAATATCTCTAAGAAAACCTCATTAATAGAAGAATATCTTTTCAAAATCAAAGAAATTTCAGATCAATTATCACCAGCCTCTACACAAGTCGATAATGAGGATTTGGTTTTAATGACCTTAAATGGCCTTTCTAGTGAATATGATGCTTTCACTATAGCTATTCGCGCCAGATCTGAAGCTATTTCTATGGATGAACTATGTTCATTATTATGTTCAGAATCAGTTCATATTAAGGCTAAGATGAAAGGTTCCAACACCAGTAATGATCTCAATGTTGCCTGCACGGCAGCTAAAGGATCAAATCACCACTATTCACACTCTGGATTTGATTCTCAATCTTCCTACTCTGGATCCGATAGAGGTGGTTTTTCACAATCTAGAGGTCACAATTCTTATCGAGAACGAGGAGGTAGATATATACAATCTCAAGGAAGGTTCAACAATCGAAATAGAGGCAGATCTGTCTTATCTCAAGGATGTCAGAGCTGTGGTGGTCTCATTCATTCAGCTTGATATGGACCCAAATTTTCAACCTATAGCATCACAGACTTCTCAATCCTATCAGTCCTCAATGCCCTGGTCCTCCTAAAGCCTATACTGCCTCTGCAGCTCATAGTCTTGCTTCGGAATCAACTTTACAAGAATCAAGAGTGCCTTGGTACATTGACTCTGCAGCCACCAACCACATGACAAATGATCTTGCAAATTTATCTTTGTATTAAGCCTATACAGGACATGATTAAGTCATTGTAGGTAATGGTACTTCCTTACCTATTCATCATATTAGACAAGGTCTTTTACCTACTCCTACTTATTCTTTTCATCTTAACCATCTTATCGATGTTCCTTCAATTTCCTCTAATCTTCTCTCTGTGCACCAGTTGACCAAAGATCACAATTGCATTGTTATTTTTGATGCTCATTCTTTTGTGGTTCAGGACAAAGCCATGAAACAAGTTCTGCATAAAGGAGTTAATAACAATGGTCTCTATCAGTTCAGTGGTTCTTCTTTTCCTTGTTCACCACATGCTTATCAATCCTGCTTTTCTACTTCTGATCTGCTATAGCATAAAAGGCTAGGACATATTTCTCATGAAAAATTCCAATGTTTAGCTCCTCATTTACCTGTTTCTTCTTCTGAAAAAAATAAATTTATGCCTTGCATTGATTGTAATATGTCCAAAATACATAGATTGCCATTCAAATTGTCCAATTCTTCTGTGAATTCTCCTTTTTCTTTAGTTCATAGTGATGTATGGGGACCATTTGTTACTGAGAATGCCAAATTTTAGTTCTATGTTTTATTTGTTGATGATTACACTAGATTCACTTGGATATATCCTTTACTTTACAAGAGTAAAGTTTATGCTAAGTTTCTTCATTTCAAAAGCTATGCTGAAAATCAATTTCATACTTCACTCAAAATTTTGAGAACAGATAATGGGTCTGAGTTTGTGAATAAAAGAATGGATTTGTATTTGTCTTCTCAAGGCATCATTCATCAAACTAGTTGTCCCTACACACAGGCTCAGAATGGTGTTGCCGAAAGAAAACATAGACATGTTATTGAAACTGCCATTGCTCTTCTGCACCATTCTTCTTTACCTTTGTCTTTCTGGTTTGATGCAATTGCTACAACTGTGTTTTTTATTAATCGCATACCTAGTTCTGTTCTTGGAAATGTGTCTCCATTTGAATCATTATTTCATTCTGTGCCTGATTACTCTTCTTTTAAGGTCTTTGGTTGTCACTGCATTCCATGGCTAAAGCCATGTGTTTCTCATAAACTCCAGCCAAAGTCCATTCCTTGTGTCTTCATTGGATATCATTCTACCATCAAAGGTCATAGGTGTCTTGACCCTATTTCTGGTAAAATCTACATCTCCAGGCATGTTCTCTTTAATGAGTGATGTTTTCCTTTTTCTTTATCTTCTTCTTCATCTCATTCTTATTCCACTTCTTCCTCTTCTTCTATTCCTTCTTTTTTTTGGTCTTCCTCTTCTTCTCCATCATCTTCTATTCCTACTCCCTTTACTATTTCTTTGTCAACAAATTTTACTTCTTCTTCTTCTTCTTCTAGTTCTTCATTTATTCCCTATTTTCCCACTTTTGTTCCCATTAATTCTATTACCATTGATCTTCTACCTATCTCTCAGCCATCTCCAACTGCAGCTCCTGTCTCCACTATCTCTCTTAATTCTCATCCTATGACAACTCGGTCTAAAGCCAGAGTTCCTATTTGTTTAAAGGTTACTTCTATGTCTGATCTCTCTACTAAGCTTCTTACTACTGAACCTAGTACTATCAAGGAAGCTCTTCAATCTGATGTCTGGCTTAAAGCTATGCAAGAGGAGTATAATGCTCTTCAAGTTCAGGGTACCTGGGATCTTGTTTCCTTGCCTTCTTCTAAATTGGCCATCGGCTGTAAATGGGTCTTTCGCATTAAACGACATCCTGATGGTCGTATTGCACGGTACAAGGCCAGACTTGTGGCAAAAAGCTATTTGCAATAGGAGGGGATGGATTTTCATGAGACCTTTAGTCCTGTTGCTAAGCAGCCCACCATTCGCATCTTTATTTGCATTACTCTTCATTATAATTGGCCTATTACTCAGCTCGATATCTCCAATGCATTTATCCATGGCTCACTTGAAGATGAAGTATTCATGGCTCAACCTCAGGGATTTGTGGTCCTTCTTATCCTAATCATGTGTGCAAACTCAAGAAAGCTCTTTATGGTCTTAAATAGGCTCCTCGAGCCTGGTATTCTACTTTCTCAGTTTTTCTTCTCTCTCAGGTGTTTCATAATAGTTTGTCAAATACTTCCTTGTTTGTTAAAAAGACTCCCACTAGTCTTACACTGCTAGTTGTATGTGTTGATGACATACTCTTGACTGGTAGTGATTTTGTTCTTCTTACTCAGTTTCTTCAAAAGATGCACTTAGTTTTTTCTATGAAAGAACTTGGGTCTTTATCCTATTTTCTGGGTATCAATGTTATTGCTCAAGATTCCAATTATTTTCTGTGTCAACAAAAGTATGCTATCGATCTTCTTCTTAAAGCTGGTATGGTGGATTGCAAGCCTTGTTCTACTCCTTTGGCTGTGAAGTCATCTGCCTCTCTTTCAGATGATATTCTTTTTGCTCAACCTTCTCTCTATCACAGTTTGGTTGGAGGTCTTCAATATCTTACCATTACTAGGCCGGATTTGTCTTTGGTTGTTAATCAAGCTTGCCAACATATGCATGTTCCTACCAATGCCCATTTTCAGAATGTTAAACGTCTTCTTCGTTATGTTAAAGGCACTGTTTCTCATGGATTGAGTTTCACTCCTTGTCCATTCACTCTTGATGCCTTTTCTGACTCAAATTGGGCAGGTGATGCTTTGGATAGACGTTCTACCTCAGGGTACTATATCTTTTTAGGCCCTAATCTGATTTCTTGGTCTGCCCAGAAACAACCAACTGTCTCTCGTTTCTCTACCGAGGCTGAATATAGGTCCTTAGCCAATACTACTGTTGAACTCAGTTGGCTTCAGCAGTTGCTTAAGGATTTTTCATTTCCTACTTCTTCTATTCCAACTTTATGGTGTGACAATTTATCGGCTATGGCTTTTGCTTCCAATCCCGTCTTTTATACCCGGTGTAAACATATTGTAATAGACTATCATTTCATTCGCGAGCGCGTTGTTGCCAAACAAGTTGTTCTCAAATATGTTCCTACGTCTGATCAATTAGCTGATTTGTTCACCAAACCGTTGTCTGGTTCTCGGTTTCATTATCTCAAAGACAAGCTTATGCTCCTTCCTTCTCCCATCAGCTTGAAGGAGGCTAATAAGATACAAGCATCAAGAGGCAGAGAAGGCACTAGCATTGTGTCAACAGCAATAGCAGATGCCACACTTGTTAGCTCAGTGTCAGACTGTGATGTTGGCTAAGTCACACCATTGTAATATTAGTACTTCAGCACAATGCAGTTGTGCTAGTATGGTTACTTAGTTACAAAGTTGTGTGCTATTTTAGTTAGCCAGTTATAGAGTTTGTTAAGAAGTTTAGTTATAGCATTTTCTATATATACAACTTTTGTAATACAAATCAGTTTGTGAGATGAATTAATAAAATCACTTTTTCTTCAAAACTAAACACATTATAGAATTTTTAAAAGTAGGGCATTTCTAAGAAATTGATATGAATTTTATGTTTCTTTCTTGTCTTCGGTTTTGTGTTTGTAGGTGAACGAGAGAGAGGCTTCTTATATTACACGAGTTTTTTTTTTTTTTTAATTTTTTTGGCGTATGAGTTGAGAAGATTTTTATTTTATAGTCAAATGTGAGGTTTTTCAATAAATTTTGAATGGGTTTCTTCTCTTAATTTGTTTTCTATTTATTCCATAATTTTTTGAGAAAGTTGTTTGTTTCCGTTTTCTATTTTCTATTTTCTCACTATGGATTCCTATTTTGTGGGAAAGCCTATTAAGTATGTCAACAAAATATAAGTTTTGATTAATTTGCAATATTAGAATTTAAAATTTTAAGTGGGATTAATACACTTTTTGAATGTACAATTCATAGTTTTAGATCAATTAAATTCCGTATTTTGTTCAAACACTTTCTAACAAACTTATTCTCAGTTACTTTTACTTTTAAAAAAGTTAATTTGATAAAGAATGATCAGCCTTGGTTGTGAGTGAACCACCTCTCACTCCTCCCCAATAGGTCATTTTGTGGTGGTTATGTGAAAATGATTGGGTTAAGGGTTGGCTATTCTATCCCGACTTTTCACCTAAAAGTATCTTAAAAGAAAAATTGCGAAATTGATCCTTGATGTAAACTTTGATAGACTTGTCCCTTTGAATAGAATAACCACACTGTTTAGCAATAGAAGGATGAATAAAATTATGTGTGGAACCAAAGTCAATGAGGACTATAATAGGTTGATTTTTTAGAGTGCCATTGATGCTCATAGTTTTAGGTCGAGTTGATCCCATAAGGGCATGTAATGAAATTTCAAAAGTTAGGGGTTCTGTGACACCACCAACTACGGTTTTAGATTCAAAGTCCTCAATTTCGACCTCCAGTTCACCTTCCAAGAGAGATAATTGTGGCTTTTGGCATCAATGACGAGGCTTATAAATCTCATCGCAATTAAAACAAAGACCCTTCTCACGACGTTCCTTCTGTTCAATCCATTACAAACGTTTAACACTAGTAGGTAAGGATGGCAATTTGTTAACAAGATTAGGTACATAAGATATGTTAGAAGGCGTGAAGAAGATGAACGAGAAATAGTCTTGGTCATATTATGTCTGATGGTTGCTATAATTGCATCCTCTTGGCCAAGTGCTAATTCAAAGGTCTCGGTTAAACTCATTGGACGAAGCAAACGAACACCAATCCTTATGTTAGCACTACTAAAAAAATCACTTTTTGCGACCGCTATAAACCGTCGCAAATAATAAAAAACAGTCGCAAAAGATTTTTTGCGACGGCCCATGCGACGGCAAATGGGGGGTCTTGGTCATATTATGTCTGATGGTTGCTATAATTGCATCCTCTTGGCCAAGTGCTAATTCAAAGGTCTCGGTTAAACTCATTGGACGAAGCAAACGAACACCAATCCTTATGTTGGCACAAAGTCCAAAAAGAAAAAATACTAATTTGATGCGACTCAAGTAAACCTGTAACCATATTAGCAAGCCACTCAAACTCCGTAACAAATTTATGAACAGTGCCAATCTGAGATAGTTTAGCTAATGAACTATAAGGATCAATGTGTTGTCGAGAACCAAAAACAGGTGCAAATGGCTCCAGAAAATTGTTGCAAAGTCAAAACCCTAAGGGACTGTTTAATTCGGTGATACTAAGAAGTAACATCTCCTTGAAGGTGCACTGCAATCAAAGGAACCATCTGTGCATCTAAAACACCATTAAGTTCTTGATATTATTCAACCTGAAACAACCACCCTTCAGGATCAATACCGTTAAATTTTGGAAAATCAATTTGGAGAGTTCGACCCTAGAAATTTGGACCATCACGCCGATCGTCATCACCGCGTTGTATAAGTGGATTAAGATTGATACCAAGTTGGAGAAGGCGAGCTTCACATTAGGGACGAGGTAGTTCTTGCCTATCCTGCAACAACACTTCGATATTCTAAAGAATGGTATTATTGGTTTGTCTATCACGTATTAACTCTTGCATATTAGTAGACATAACACCCATCCTAGTAGCAAGAGCAGCAACTTGTTCTTTGAGTTCCTTAACTGATATGTTGATGATGATGAATGGTAGAGTATAAAGAGATGAAAGTTTAAAGATTGAATGCTCTGATACCAGATGATAGGACCCTAGACCCTGAATTGATTTTTTGATTGGGGATCAGCCATCAACAATCCTTTGAATTGGGGATTGGCCACCTCAACTCTTAATATTATTAAATCTCCTCCTCAAAGCCATTACAATACGCATCCTTATATAAGAAAAATAAAATAACTTAGACTTCCTAAATTGATTAGACTTTTTAAATTGATCAGATAGTAATTGAAAAGAAGTAGACTTCCTAATATATTTGATTTCCTAACAAGAAGCAATGAATCGATCATGAACCCCTCATTTATGTCCAACGATGAAGTGCAATATAAGAGACCTAGAATTCGAACTAGTATATCCTTCCACTAAAATGGGAGAGCTCGGATTCGACGTTAGATATTGGAGATAAGGAGTTGATTGGGGGGTGTTGGGTTCAGTGCTAAGGGTTGTGTGTTGAATGTTGAAGGAGATGCAGAGAGTGGATATGCTTGTTCATGATTAAGAGTTGGAAATAGGTTTTGGTTGATATTTATTAACTGGTGATACTTTAATTGAAATGTGTGTAAGATTTATTGACTTGTTTGATGAAATGGTTTACTGAGATGTTTCTGAAATAATTTGTTCATTTTTATTTATTTATTTATTTTTTGGGTCTCTACAAATGATTTTTATTTTTTTTTTGGGTTTTTGCAAATGGTTTTGCACAACATCCATAAAGAGAAAGGGGGAGGTAGGGGTAAAATTGGCATTTTAAATAAATAAATTGTTGACCTAAGTAAAAATTGTTAATTAGTCTAACCACAAATTAACGGAAGAGGCAATTTGTAATGTGAATATAAACCTTAGAAAGAAAAGTGTAATTTCTAGTACCTTAAGGAGGGGAGTGTGGATATAATTTACCCAAAAATATGTATTAAAAAATAATAGAAAAGTAGTCAGTTTGTTTGATTTGAGTTTTCTTATTCACTTTTTAAAAAATTAAAATTTTTTGTTTTCAGTATTTGTTTTCACTGAATCTTTTTAATATTTTAAGCAATTTTTTCTTTAATTTTTAAAATACATCTAACATAAATACACTTAAAAAATATAATATTTGTAAAAAAAATCTTTAAAAAAATTTACTAAATACCAAAAATATAAAAAAAAATACAAAAATTTAATATATTTTTTTTGTATTCTTGTGTATTTATTAAAATTTTAAAATATTTTTTTAACAAAAATTTACCTTTTAGATATATTTAAGTAAGACACATTTAAAAAAATAAAAAATTATTTAAAATTTTAAAAATATTCACTAAAAAAAATAAAAAATAAAAAATAAAAACTCAATTTATAAAAAATTAAAACTAAGGTTAAGTTTGGCATCCTCCAAAAAATTCAAAAAGTCACTATTCTATTTAACTCACATCATCTTATTTAAGTTACATCACCTCTCTAACACATCATTTCAAACCCAACTCAAATCCAATCCATATTTCATAAAAAGTTAAAAAGTGCACTTATTTAGTCTTCTCAAACTTGACCTAAATACAATAAATATGACTAAAAAAAATTAAAAAATTAAAAAACTAACTTTTTAACATGGGCTGTGATTCCTACACCCAGTGGGGCGACCCCCACTGACGACTCCCAGTGAGGTGTCGCCTCCACATTGGCCGAAAACAAAAAAATAATATAAATAAATAACAATTTTTTTTTTCCACCAATCACATGCGACCCCAGTACCACACTGGGGGCCGGAGACATTTTCCTTTTGAATAAAGCTTTGGACCCCCAGTGGGGGTACTGGGGTCCCTTCCCATTGGTCCAAAAAAACAATTTTTTTTTTTTGTTTTTTTTTGAGTTCAAGCCATCCCAGGCCGACACGTGACACTGAGGGGTCACGGGGTCAGCCCAAGTGGGGATATGTAGCATTACTGTTTCCTTTTAACATTGATGCCTGCCAAACGAGGGCAGATGACTCACGTGTAGTGTCGTGGAGGTTCCAGGGTTGTAGTGTACATTCCGAGAAGGATGTCATATCAAGAACGCGTCGAAGCAACGCGTACACTGTTTATCACAATTTTCAAACTTGTAACGTGTCCGTGTGTATGTATGTTTGTATACGTGTGTGTACATATATATATATATATATATATATGGTTTAGGATGAGGACTTTTAAACAGAGATTCTTTGTCGAAGCAGTTGTCAATTCGAAAGAGACCTCTTTGATTTCTTAAAATAACTTTCAACTCCAATCCCAACCAGCTCATTAGGATTTGAATCCCCAATCCAATTCGGTAATCTCTCTTCGATTTTAACTTCTTGAATCCCCATTTCAATTCGGTATTCTCTCTTCGATTTTAACTTCTGATTATGTCTTGTAGTAGTTGTAATGAAAAAAAAAAGTGAGTCAGTAATCTTCTTTGTTGTTGTTTTTGTATGTTGGATCTTGAATGATTTCTTAGTCGTACTTTGCTTGTTTGTTTTTGTTAATGGCAGTTTATTTCATCATATGATTATGTCCTTTTCTAAATTGATCAATCTTTTATCTATTTTCATCTGTGTGTTCATTTATTTGTTTATTTAAAAAAAAAAAAAAACAAATTTCTTTTGGGGTTGGGGGTTGTATTGCTGTTGAACTTTGAATCATGGTTTGGATGTTGGATTTCTGTGTTTTGGGTTTCTTTTAGTGTGTTTGTTAGTACCAATTTCCATTAGTTTTTTGAAGACTTTTCTACAAGTTTGCTTGATAATGGGACTGTTTTCAGAGATTTTTTTGAAAAAATTTCAGAGGAAATTGTCTTTAAGGAATAGTTCTTCAGTTTGCTTCACTTGTTTCTATGAACTTTTCACTTTAATATATTAGAATTATCTTTGATGCCTAATTTGGATCCGCTTTTGGTTGATCTGATAGAATGTATTCAAACATCAATGTGACGAATTTTCAGTAAATTATAAATACAATACACTGTGGTTTGAAGAATGACAAATCCCCTTGTTAAAATTTTTTTATTTAACAAAATTAATTGAAAACATAAAATTCTTACTGCCAAAATTACCTGAATTATTAATTGAATAAATTTCTGACATCATTAAAAAATTGATTTGATAATTTATTAATAGAATAGGCCATTTATTGTGAAATTAAAAACTTCAAAGGGGGAGATGTAATTTCTAAAATTACAAGGGCAAATTGTATTTTAAAAAACTTCAAGAGTGTATTTGTAATCTATTCATGAATTTTCTTAAGGGCAAACTTCACTTTACTCTGTTTGGGCTAGGTACGGTTTACCCTCTCAACGTTTACAAATGATCACATAACCCTCTTGTGGTTTGTAGACTAAAGTATACTGTTAGACCCGTTAATGATTTAAAAAAAAGACTAAAATACTCTTGTATTTTCGTCATTTGTTTCGCATTTATTGTTAAGTTGGACAAAATATTTAACGGTGTTCAATGGTGCACTTTAGTACACAAACCACCTGGGGATTATTTGGTCATTTCCAAACATTAAAGGGTTAAACTGCAAGTGGCCCAAACCGCAGGGGTAAAGTGAAGTTTGCCCTTTCCTTGAAACACATGCGTAGACAAACTTCTTTGATGGGTATTTTGTAACCGAAAATTCATTAGGGGTTGATAATTTTACTCACCGAGAAGAATATTGATCTCCCATATATATGTAGATTGTTTCGAGATCGCGTCTAACTCTGCCACAAAAGTTAAAAGAGGAACAATTCATATACTAAAAGGAAAAATAATACTTTGAATAAACAAAACATATAAAATGTGTCTTCTTTGCTAAATCTCTACCTATTTTGCTTTTCCTTATATTTCTATTTGATAATGTCATTTTTTCTGGATAAACAATAAGTTGTTGAAATGTGATTTTTTTATATTGGGAAATGCATTCATGGAGAACAAAAGCATTAAGTCATTATGGGTTGAGATGAGGAAGTAGTAGTGATGTATAACACTTTCGGGAAAGAGGATAGAGAAGAAGGAAGAGAGGAAGTACACAAGGGCCACAACTCTAATCACAACCTCACTCAATATTCTCAATTCAAAGCTCAATGTTACCATGTAAAGCCCTAATCAACATAGGAAACTAAGGTCTCGTGGCAAGTGGTGATTTTAGTTAAAAAGTCACTAAAAAAATAAAAAAAAAGCCAACAATTTATACAAAAAAGTCAAAGATTTTTTTTTTCTCTCTACGTTTTACACATCTTTTCGTAAAAAATCAAAAAATCTAGTTTTTTTTTAATCATATTTTAGCCAAAAAGTCAAAAAGTTACTAAAAAAACATGTTCCCAAACGAATCTTAACACTATTTGGAAACTTAGTCGTTAATAAAATCAAACTATAATTAAAAATAAAAAAGTATAAATATTTAAGGGATTATAAAATATATAAAATCTCCATGCCAAACTCCTGCATTAAGTAGATATATGATATGCTAAGGTACAATTGACACACTTTTTTTTTTTTTTTTCCCTTGGAAAAAAATCTTATGTGTTGTACTGTTCTCTATTTACATTTTCAGTTCATAAATTTCAACTTGAAGAAAAATGGGAGGTGGAAATCACAATGATGATGAATCTAGTGACAAAGGACTTTTCTCTCATCTTGCTGGCTATGCTACTGGACAATACCCTCCGTCTTATGGGGCATATCCTCCTCAAGGATATCCCCCTCAAGCCTACCCGCCAGCTGGATATCCTTCTGCTGGTGGATACCCACCAGCTGGATATCCTTTCCAAGGTGGGTACCCACCGGCAGGTTATCCTGGTCCGTCAGCGTATCCTCCCCCAGGTGGATATCCACCGGCAATTTATCCTGGTCCATCAGCTCCGCCTGTTTCAGGTATGTTTGATTCATTTCTTTCCAGAATTCTTTTAAGGACTTGGAGTCATCTGACATGTAAAGGTGAATCGTCATTACAACCTGCAAGAAATTGTTGAATAATATTTTAATTGCTCCTAGAACTTTCAATTGGTTTGTGTGTGTTTATGCATTGTTTTTGAACCCAGAGCATGAAATACTGGTTTTGATTAAAAGCAGAAATAATTGTTTTTATGATAATCTTCGGCACCAAAAAAGTTACAGAATTCCACTTCACCCTTGCACTAAAGAGGATGAGAAAAGTAGGAGGTCCAAATTTGGAAGACTGTTAAATCTTCATATCTCATTGCTGAACTCTATTTCTTGTGACATTTCTCCGCCTTTTTGTACATTTACTTTTTCAATATAATCTGCTTGTTAAAATTACATCTCTGTAATGTCTTGGTGATCCTTGATCGTAAAGTATACAGATTTAGAGTGCTGTTTGTTTTGCTTGCTACAACGTTGTATTTCTTTTTTCCATTGTTGATAGCTTGTAATTTCTTTGTACAGGTCATGGGCCTAATATGGGAGCATTGATAGCTGGTGGCGCTGCTGCTGCGGCTGCCGCTTATGGGGCCCACAAGCTCTCACATGGTGCCCATAATCTTACCCATGGGGGTTATTACGGTCATCACCATGGAAAGTTTAAGCATGGGAAATTCAAGCATGGGAAGCATGGGGGAAAGTTCATGAAGTTCAAAAAATGGAAGTGATTACCGCTCGATATTTTATTATCATAGATTGCTAGCATTGGCTTCTTAGGAGTGTTGTTTAGGCTTGCAGTGAGTGACAATTGTCTCTCTCTTTTTTTTTTTACTTATTTATTTATTTTATTTTTAATGATTCTGGATACAATTCGGGGGTTATGACACTGGCATATGTATATAATTACAAATTTCTTTTATGTTATATTTCTACATATATGAATGAATTAGTCTCTTGTGTAAGGTGTTGATATAATTCTTGTAGTATTGTTTGTTTTTTTTTTTGAGGACTCGAGGTATTGTTAAAGGGCTTCAAATGGCATTATAGATGAATCTATCCAGTGGGTGATCTGTCATTCCAATGGGAACAAGAGCCCTTCTACATTGTAATATTAAGCCCTGTTTGGTAGAGCTGTGGGAAAGTGCTTATAGCTTATGCCTAAACAGCTTATAGCTTATAACTTTCAGCTTAAGCTGATTTCCAGCTTATTCTTAAAGCATCTCCTGCCCCACTCAAAGAATAAGCTGATTTCTGACTTCCACAAAGCTATAAGCTATAAGCTATAAGCTAAACCAAACACATCAAAATAACTTAAATTAAGCTGAAAGCTGAAATAAGCTGTAAATAATTTCTGCCAAACAGGCACTTAGTATTTTTGTAAAAGCAATATGTTGGACAAAGGACTTTGTGTTACCTGTTCAAGTTTATTTGAAATGGATTTTAGATAGTTTGATTTTTTTATAATGCATATAATCTTAAGCTCACGACACTAGTTAGAACAATGGGATTGATAGTTGGAGCATAGACTGGCTGGTTAATGTATACTTTGCTAGGGTTTCGTGGTGTTTCACTACTTTTTTAATGTCATATATATTTTTGGTACAAAAAAGAAAGAAACAAAGAAACAACAGAACCAAATAAGGCAGGGGAACTGAGAGTCTAGATCGTCCAATAAGCTATCCACACCATATCAGCAACAACTTGAGACCTAACAGCAACAGGTGGTTCCTCCACCACCACCAGGGATTCATCTTGGTCTTCTTCCATGTTGGCGAGCATGTTTGCACACTGGTTAGCTTCACGCACGATGTGGCGAATAGACAATTGCACCTCTGGAACAGATGTCTTGAATCTTCGGCAATACTTCTGGAAAGAGCAGTTTTGAGATGGTCCTTTGGTGAGCAATTCTTCAACTAAACTAGAGTTTGTTTCAATGATGACTTCTTGATGGGCTTTCTCCAGCACGATGGTCAAGCCATAAATTCCCCACATTTCAACTTCTAGATTGTTGCATGCTTCCAGCTTCTCGTAAAAACCACACAGCCAAACCCCTTCTCATCTCTGAAAACCCCTCCGAAGCCTCCTTTGCCTGGGTCTTCTCTTGCACAACCATCAGTGTTGAGTTTAATTTTCCCTGCAATAGGAAGAAGCCATTTAACCATTAATGGGGGGAGCTGAAATTCGAAGAAATGGATATGGTGAATGCATGCTTAATTTCTCTGGCATAATTTTCAATAGATAAATAGGTTTTAAATAAGGATGGATCAACATTTTCAAAATTTTCTTTTGTTTCTATCCTTCAAAAATTGCCAAAGAGATGTAACAAAAAGTAGACTCCAAAAAGTATCAAGATGAGCATGAGGTTTCGGATATTTTTTTTTGAGCCAAACAATCATGGGTGATTGCCTATCTTTAGAATCCAAAGATTCCCAACAATGCTATTCCAGACACTTATAGAAGTAGTACAATCTCTAAAGAGGTGATCCACATCTTCAATGTAGAGATCACACTTGGGACATGAGGCATTATCTGTGAGGCCTCCTATCAATCTCATTTCATTGGTCAAGATTTTGCCATGGGCTATCAGCCACAAAAAACCTTAGTTTTTGAGGAACTTTCAATTTCCAAATCCATTCTAGATCTAGAATGTGGTCCACTTGAGCGTTAGCAATTTTGTAGGCAGCCGAAGTAGGAAAGTAGCCTCTAGTGGAACCCTTCCAATGAGGGTTATCAAGAAATGTGACAAACAGGGGAAGTTTGATTTTGAGGACACACTCAAGGGCACCTCTGGGGAGGTAGGCACAAATGGCCCGCACATCCCAGTTATCCTCATCATTAATCAACTTATCCACAGTATCCAAATTGATCAAATGGTTGTTAGGATATTTGGAGGCCCAAACCTCATCACCACACCACCAGTCATGCCAAATTGAGATGTTAGAACCATCCCCCACACTCTACTTGGTGAATTTCCTCAATATATTCCTGGTTTTGAGAATGCCTCTCCAGGTATGGAAGGATTTCCTCTTAGAAGAGTAGTCAAAAGTTTTGTCCTTGTAGAGATATTTCCCATTTAGAACTTTAACCCAAAGGCTCATATTGTTGCTCAAGATCTTCCATCCCAATTTTAGAAGAAAGTGTAAAAGATTTTGGGTTTTGGCTTTTTCCAGGTCAAGCCCTCCCATCTTCTTACTTCTGCACACTGTCCTAATTCACTAGATGAACTTTTTTGCTGTTCTCTGTATCACCCCACAGAAAGTTTTGATTAAGCTTGTCAATACCCTTGCAAATGCTCATAGGAACATCCATGGTTTGCATAGCATAGGATGGCAAAGCAGAAGTAACTGATTGAACCAAAGTGGTTCTACTAGCTAAGGATAAAAGATTAGCTTTCCATTCAGATAGTCTATTCTGGATTCTCTCCAAAATGAACTGGAAATGAGTACAAGAGCATTTAGTGTGTAGGAGTGGCACTTCCAGATATTTACCTAGACCTTGGGTGAGAGCAATGCCACAGATGGATTTATGTAAGCGTATCTTCAGTCCAGATAAAGTACTGAAATAATTAAGCGCTTCCATAATGGTCTTACAAGTTTTCTCATCAGCCCTCCCAAACAACCTGAGGTTATCAACAAAAAGAGATGGGATATAGTAGGGCCCTTGAAAGAGTTCTTAATCCCCTTCTACTGTTCATGGTTGACTTTATCAATGATCATGTTTGAAAGCCTCTCCATGCAAAGCACAAATAGATAAGGAGATAGTGGATCTCGTTGTCTCAACCCCTTCTCCTAATTAATCTCCTCCAATTTCTCACCATTCCAAAGGACTGAAGCTTTCACATTGGTCACACAGTTCATAATGAGCTCCATTAGGTCATTAAGATTGAGCTCTTTAAGGGTATGATAAAGAAAATTCCATGACACATATCATAAGCCTTTTCAAGGTCAATTTTCAAGATCATACCCCCTTGGTTGCCTTTTTTCCCACTGAGGGTGTGAATGACCTCCTGGGCAATAAAAATGTTACTACACATGGTGCGTTCAGGAATAAAGCTACTTTGAATAGAGCCAACAATGTTAATTAGCAGGGGTCTGAGTCTACTAACTAAAACCTTAGTAAGGGTCTTGTAAAGCACATTACAAAGACTAATGGGCCGAAATTGGCTAATGATTTCAGGATTGTCCACTTTAGGGATTAGGGTAATCAAGGTGTTATTAAAGCTCTCAGGGACATTTTTGTTAGTATAGCAGGTTTGAATGGAGTTGCACACAGAAAGGCTAACAATATCCAAATGGACATGGTAAAAAAGGGATTGGATGCCATCACTACCTGGGGCTTTGAATGCCTGGATGCTCTTGATAACTTCCCACAACTCCTTACTAGAAATGGGTTTGATAAGAGCACGATGAACCTCAAGACTATTTTTTGGTTGAACAAGGTTCAGGTGGCTTAGGTCAGGAGTGTAGGTATTTATGGTTTTGTTTTTAAAAAGGTCACAAACATAGTTCTGCACATGAGTTTTAAGAGCACAAGGTTCATGGATCCACTGGCCCTCATTATCTTTAAGGGCATTGGCCCTCAGTCTCCGTCGTTTAGCAATGGTGGATATGTGGAAGAATCTAGTACTACGCTCACTTAAGGTGATCCACTTTACCCAAGATTTTTAAAACCACAACAGTCCTTGATAAAGGACAGTATTATAAGCTCATTTTTCAAAAAAAAATAAATTATGAGAGTAAACATGGGATTAAGCTGTCTAGATACTTTCAATTCTGCCGAGAATCCATCTTTTCCTTCGAAAGATATTGCCAAAAAGGTTTTTGTTCCAAAGGGTTGCATTTTAGTAATAAAGTTGATGGCTTCTGGGATAGAATTCTGGCTATCAACTTAAGAATTTTTTATGACAATTTTAAAGCTATCATCAATAAACCAAGCTACTTCCATTCTAAAAGGCCTAGCAAAAGGGTTAGGAATGTCATACAATGAGTACACAGAATCTTGGGGCAGTGATACGAATAGGTGTGTGGAAGGTTTCTGAGTGCACCTTCAATGAACGCAATGCCGCACCAGTGTTGCACGCAACTTGGTATAGAGAGTGACGTTTCCTTTGTTTTATTTTATTTTATTTTTTGAAAAATATGTGGGTCAAATGTTCCCTCTAAAATGAATGATTCATTTATGCGCGCCGGCCTTGAGTTATTAGGAGCTTAACGTAAATTTTTTAAATTGGGCCTTTTATATGTCATTACCAGAAAAAAAAAAAAAAATGTTTGGATAAAACAAAAATGATAACAATTTATGTAGCGATCCCGGTTTTTCCTCTCTTCATTTACAGTGTTCCGAACTTAGGTTCCGTGGGGTTGATAGTTATATATCTTGTTGACATCCTTTAATTCTCTATGTTTGAGTTTTAGGATGTGTCGAGCGTGTTTTGAACTGGTAGGATGAGTTTTGGTCTCTAGTGTTGTTGCCCAGGTTTTTGGTGTTACGCTCGAGCGGATGATTCTGCGCTCGAGCGGATGATTCTGCGCTCGAGCGGAGTTCGTTTCTTTAGTGGTACGCTCGAGCGGGTATTCTTGCGCTCGAGCAGAGTTTTCACACTTCCAATATCTGTGCCTCTACAAAACTTTTGCAGATGTGTTTTTCACGCTTGAGCAGGTTTTCTTACGCTCGAGCGGGTCACGCTCGAGCGGGTCTGTTAGCGCTTGAGCGGGGTGTTCATTGTCTGCGAAAGTTCTGAGAGGGGGTAATTTACGCTCGAGCGAACTGGTTTTCGCGCTCGAGGGGATGTATTTTGTTCTTGTGTCTTGGCGCTCGAGCGGGCTTTCTTGCGCTCGAGCGGTTCCAATTTTTATGCTTGACGCTCGAGCGTTCTATTCTCCGCTCGAGCGGATCATGTGTATATCAGTTGGCAGCTGTGCATTTTTGAGTCACATTTCAACATCCTTTCTCTCTCTTACTTTTCCGAAAAAGCC